AAAGTCCGTGTGTCATTAGAGAATCGAGGAGGGCAGATGAGAGCAGTCAGAGGCGGATCAATGTAGCTGCTAGGGAGTCCAAGTGCAATTTACTCAATCCCGCCATCTGCACGCCCGCCAGGACACCTCGTCCTAACACACTTCAACAGGGAGAGTATTCGAGGCTTGCTACGCTCTCACGCCACCTCCGTTTAAGTTCACAGGTTTTTAAAGCTCTCTGGGGGCTCCGACTTGACTCTCTTCAACGACGCAGTGCGCAAATTCCATTCAAGTCGGAGAACGTCAACCTAATTAATTGTTCGATAACGCACAAGTACATTAAATATCTCGACCCAATATGTCTATGTTTTGTTACAAAAACACTTATTTAAAATATTTTAGGCTGGCGCATCCACCATTTTTGCATGCAGCCGACTTTCGGTTAGTAAATAGAACTCTATACGAAAGAAATGTATAGTATTTATATTGATTTTCGTTCTACGACTTTGACGGTGAAGTTGGTCTGCGACGCAATAATTCCACGATAACACCCCACAGATCGTGTATGCTACGAGTCTGTTCAGGAAGAAGCTTAATGAAACACATAGTTAAACTCGCGGTGTATACCAAACACAAATGTTTTGTCTGTGCATATCCGACGTCTCTGAAGAGACTGACAAGCCACAGTCAACATTTTCAACAATGACTATTGATTTATAAATCCTTTGTAATCAACTGAATTAAAAAACAGAAGCTCGTTCCGGTTTATATTTAAAATTGGATTTTTTTTGTAACAATGGGGAGAAAACATTTTTTCGCAATAATAAGTAAAATGATTCTCTGAGAAATTTGTGGAAATAATAAATTTAGAAATTAATCACTTTTTATTAACATCACAATTTTGTTATCGCTCTCAAAGTTAGAACTGAAATAAGTGTTGAAGGAAGTACAGATTTTATGTCTAGGTAGATTCTCCGAATAGATTATAATTGGAATTTCTACCTGTACAGAAAATTCGACAAACATATATCAACAAAAACTCCACTTAGAAACAGCTCATAACAAAAAAGTTGGGCCTGCGTAAAAAAATACAGTCGCAGGAATCGACACAATTAGAACTGAGTAACTCTCGGCCACTCATTGGTTAGAATAAAAATTACAATTCCATTACGTATATTTAGTTCTGAGAATGAGTTAACTTTCACTAATTTACGTTGTAACAAAAAAAAAATGAAGTAAATAAATTAGTGTACCAATACATTACTTTTAAATTGCTAAAAAAATATTTTAAAATTCATTAGAAAACTTTCCGTACACATCAAAAATCAGTAATGTTCAAGGTTTTTCCCAAATGTATTCGCTATTTAACAAAAAATGTAGAATGGTTAAGGCTAAAATAATCTTATCTATCATCGAATCGAGTACATACTTATTGATAAAGTACAAAAATCATAGAAAATCATCAATTTGTCGAAATATTCTGACCTAAAAATAAAGCGATGCACCAGAAATGAACAACGACAAATAAACTGATGTATTTATTGTAAAATGTGTTTCCTTTAAAACAATTAGAACTCTTTGACTACTTATTATAGTAAGATAGATAAATAAATATGAAAAGTTATTGCATGAATAATGAATGAAAAATATTCATACCTGTACAATATTGCAGCATAACCACGACTTGGTAGATGTATTACTTTTTTAAATGATATTTTTACCGTAACTATGCCGAATAATTTCCATCAATACGTTATAAAAATATCTACAAGGACATTTATCCTACGCACAAAAATAAGGCACCAGTAACTTTCCACTCTTTTATTATATTGTCATTGTTCCACTCTGTTTTGATGGACCCCGACGGAGGTTAGAACACCATTATCAACAACGGCTCAAATCATTCGGTAATAACCGACCCTCATCGCGTTTATTCACGATCTTTACCACATACAAAAAGGACACATCGTTACAACTTTATTATGATTAACTTTTCAATGTTTCACAATGTGCGATAAAGTTAAAAACTTGACTCAATAGTTTTTCTACGAACTGAAACCCAACACGATTGGTTCTGCTCTCCTCTCTACATGTCCTTTTCTTTTCTCGAATCTTACGATGATATTTTAATCGGAGACGGTTGTGAGGACGATCGATGCAACCGGAGTTGAGTTCCGTACAGATCCACGATGAAACATGACAACAGCGCAAAACAGACGTGATGAGTGCTTCACACCGGCTAATAGGTTCGGTGTGCTGTTATGCGCAGAGGACGACTCTAAACTCGCCACCGTCCCACCTCAACACTCGGAAAATAAGCGATTAAAAAACTAAAAATACGGAATATTGGCTTCTATTTTTAAATACCAATACCGTCATCTTGCCTCTCCCACTTCATAATAAATCGCTGGTAATTGTTGCGCACACAACTGATATCAACTCATCTGAGCGAGTGGCGGGACTTACATAGTTTTGAATTTCGTCAATCAATTCAACAGACAATAGAGGGCGATATTGACAGGTGTTCGCGCAAAAATTCAACTAAACTAACATCGAACAGAAAGTGACCCCGCTCCGGTGTTGAAGTGCATCGATCGCCATCGCAAACACTTGTTGCACTCGCTCGCTTTTCCCACCAAAACAGGCAGCGATGCCAACGAACGGCAAAAGCTGCAGAATTCCATAGATATCATCTCCTCTTAAGGCATACTAAAAACGCGAACTTCTTTACAAACAAAGCCAATTAAAATCGGTGACGATAACATGTGATACGATAACAGACAGTTTTATTCCGGACCATCAGATGGTACAACGGCGGCCTCTAATCGTCAAACACCTCTAACAAATGGCGCCATAAAAGACCTCGTAAAACTATAAGCGTAAAAATGACATCTCTAACAAAGATTTTAACTGCAAATAAATAAAAAAAAATCGTAATTATTAACATCATTCCATTATAGAGAATTATTCCAAGTATTTTTACTTCTTGAAAATACGTAAACTGATGTCGATGAACTCAGGTCATGCTCTAAGGTCCAGTTCAAATCATTGAGCTGGTCAAGCTCCCAAAATCTTATAGAGACAAAAAAAAATGATGTCCCATTGTATATTGTTTTTTCACAACTTCTACAGTCGAAACATACAAAATCGATTTTTTACCATCTTCTCTCAATCTAATTTAAATTTAATTTTTCCAAAAAGTTGCACTGTGTATTGTCGTCTATTTTTTTAAATATGTAAATACAGGGTGATTCAGATAAGATAATGAGCCCGACGATCTGACAATGCAACACAAAAAACAAATTTCATTTACGTCTTAATCTAATTTTAATTACGATTTGCATTTGCAATCCAAGTTATCTTATGTTGCTCTGACAGTGCTTTGACAAGCAATTGATGATTTATAAATAAACTGTTTTCCTACCTTTAATGTTTCRTWCTTTYATACATTTTGTGTTGGGTTTACACCGAAAAGACTTTTCTAATTTCTCTATCATTCCGCGAGAACTGAACGGCACTAATGATCGTTCTCTGCACTAATGTCAGAGTGACATAAGATGATAACTTGCTTAGGATTTGCTTAGGACTTAGGATTTAACTTGCAAATCCTAATTTAAATTGGATCAAAGGCGTAACTGAAATTTGTTTTTTGGGTTGCATCGCCAGATCGTCAGGCTCATTATCTTATCTGAATCGCCCTGTATATGCTCATTCAATCCTGCTTCCTATTTCAAAGAAAATGACGTCAATTTCAGTTTTCTAAATGGAACAGCCTGGATATTTTATTATTTTTTGATTCCTTCTTAAATTGTTTTTCAACAAGCTCACTAACTATTATAAAGTTAACTATTGCTTTTAGGCAATTTAAAAATTAAATAAAATAAAGTAGGCAGTAGAAAATATAGAACATTTTTATTCATTCAATCTTTAGACAAGTAAACGACTGATAACAAAAAACTGTTCAACTTTGATCAAAGAAATATTATAAGTTTGAAAATAATGAAGTTATAACTTGAGGTTTTTTATCCAGTCTGTATCTATAATAATTTTCTAGAACTATTTAAAGCCAATAAACACGAAGTTGATTCAACCATATCAAATCTAAAATAATAAAAATCAGAAAAACAGATATCCTCGTCAGTAAATTTCTAAGATGCAAATTTGGATCCAAAGTGCTTTATGTACTCGTAGTATATTTTTTATCTGTATGGGAAACAACTTTCGTTGTAGCTGTAATAGCTCTTAGGTTATCAAATATTCAACAAAATTTTTAAAAACAAGATGTTTGTAAAAAAATCATAATTTTTTTAGTTTTCCGTTAGAAAATAACTGCGCATTCGTTGAAAAGACTGATTTGAGCTCGAATTTGGGGTTCACGTTCGTTCTCTGTTCACCGTTACAGATGCCTGGATTTGATGGTTTGATGCAAACAATACGAAAGTTGAGTTCAAACGCAGATTCCGTTTGCAGTTGTACTTTTCGACGCTAGATTTCGCCACGATTGAACAAAACCAATTCACGGTAAAATAGATATCATTTTATACAAAAATATGGGTGCGCGGCGACTGACTATCTTACGTTTGAATTTTTTAATTCGCCCAGTTTCACATCAAGGTCATCGGAGCCGCTAGAATTTAAAACATTTAATATCGATGGGTTTCGCAGTGCCATGTCTCTACCTAAAGGTCAACTATCGTCACCTTTAAAAATCCATGAAGTGCGAGAAAACGAACAAAGAGCAAAAAAACTGGTTAATATAAAGTATGAGGAACGACAACAAAAATTTTACATAATAGTCAATCGACTCCACTATTACTAAATATTTTTTCACATATCTCTGTGTAGTTATAAATAATTAGCTTTGTTTTGACAACGCTATTTTAAAAACTTTGTGAATATATTGTCTAATTTTCTTTGGTTGGCTGCAGTTTACGTTTATATAGTGAACAAACCGAAGAAGCTTGGAAAAGATTCTCGAACCGCAATTCAATCAATAAAATCTAATTTTAAGTACAACTTACCGCCTCCAGAGAAACACCGGTTATCTGCCATGCCTCCACTTCCGTTGGCGCTCCATTCGAATCTGCAAGTAAAGGAAAAGAAATATCAATGTTTCTAAACATTTATAAACATTTTTTAACTTTTTTCCATAATCCAAGCAAATATTATCTTTGATTCGTTATTTCATAGTTATTAATGTTTTCGATTTTCAACACGAGATGGGACTAGACATCAACGGTTCATATTTGGTATAAGAATAAGCGTAGACTCAGCCGTCACAATAATCTGTTACTGATTCCAATTTTAGACTTATTTAGAGAAATGATATCGATAGGTTTATTGTAAACGAAACAAATTCGTTCCTTAAAAAATCAGAAAAAGCAGAAATGTTGAGAAAGTTCTTTTTTGACAGTCTTCCAGACGTACCCCCTATTAAAAAATAATTTTTGATAGAAATTAAAAATGCACCGATTTAGTCAAAAACCAAAAAACGTAAATTGGTGTACGGTGTTATGTAAATACACCAAAATTCTCGAGGACTTCTTCCTTGAAGCACGACTGTTAACAATGAAACGTATTTTCTTTTTTAAATTTTTACGTTTGCAAGATACAGCTTTTCGAATGAGACCAATGAACAAAAAATATATCTCAAAAATATGGAATGAAGTAACAATATGTATAAACTTTGACAATTATCAATGCGATCAGGGACGACACAAATGGGTGGTTATAATTTGAGTGAAACAAATAAAAACATTAACTTGAAATGTTTCACAACAAGAAAAAACTAAAAATAATTAAACTAAAGTTAGTTCTAATAATAGATCTATTATTGATAACAAATATTCAAAGTTTTCTTACCAAATCAGTCGGTACAGTTGGTTGCAATAAAAACGGTAAATAGAATTTTCTTTAGATTGAAACAGGTTTTTCCCTTGTCAATTTGTCATATGTCGCATTGAAATATTTTTTACTGCAATGTAACACTTAAATGCCGAGAGCATCAAATGCGAATTAAGATAATCAATTAGTTGAGTACTTACGTGAAAACACAATGAGTAGTAGTACTATAGATTAACTGTCAGTTCTAACTTAACCTTTTAGAATTAAGCCATATTCAAACTATGGATAAATATAAAAATTTTACATTTTTATGCTTTGACATCTTCCGATTTTTTTGCAACCAAGTGTGCCTGATTCTTTAATCAGGCACACTTGGTTGCAAAAAAGCCGCTTGTACCTTATGAGTATTGTTGATTAACATTTGGATTGGATTCGGTCCAAAATTTCTTCAGAAAAAATTTGTTTATTAGAATTTGCATTGGTGAACCTTTGTCTCTTCCAAACTGCTCTGTCTTGTTCCGTAAATTCGAAATCCACAGTAATAAGACCAACGATTGTTGAGATCTACTTAATACCTTAGTCATACAGCGGCAAAATAATTTTGAAACATTTCGTCACAAATCAGCAGGAAATGTGATTATTTTTTAATAAGTAATAATTATTTACATTCACTGACGCCACTGACATACAGGAAAAAAAATTGATTAGAATGTTTTTGGTCACAAAATATTTTATACATCATTTTAAGCAAATTCTAAGAATTGCTTGATTGATTGATTGATTGAATTCAAAGATATTTTGGTTTATTTATACATAACACGCGGTATGTCAATTTCTCGAACAATTTCAATATTCTGACTTCATTGTATATTTTTCTTATTCATGTCAAAAATTGTAAGTATCCCAATAAAATCTTGAATAAACAATTGCACCGATAAATAAAAATATAATTCAGTTAACAAACTAAAAAAAAAATTGACTGATTAAACGATTCAAATGTCAAAAGTCTTCCAACTAGTCTTAAATAAGCAAGCACAAGTCTCAGCTTAATCAGAAATAAACGATTTATTTAATTAGTGTTCAATTTTGTGCACAATGTTTTTGTGACACTGTCTTATCAAAAAACAGTGTTTTACAAAATACAACTTTGTAACACAGTTAATTTGGTAACTTTTTATGCAATACTTTTATTAGCACTGACTGCATACTGTCGTTATAAGTGAAAACTTGTTATACATCAATGTATTGCTCCGATAATGATACAAGTTGAGCTATTTTCAAGCGATTTGGATACTGCAAACATAAAATGTCATCAGTTTTAACTTTCAAATAAATTCAATTTAAAAAGCCCTCAATGGAAAAAGTAGTAAAAACATGTATCACCTTTCAGTGGGATACTCGTGGATTGTAATACTCACCATTGCGTCGCTCGTATCACTACTCAAAGCACAACGAGAGATAATAAAATGTTTAAATTTGATAAGTAAAAAAAAACATGGTAGGCCAACTAAGTTGCGTTTGATTCTTGACATTTCAGAAATGTCAAAAATATATTTAAAAATGTGTGAATCTGATATTAAAATTGTAGAAATGGAGTAGTGCGCTTTCCCAGAAGTAAGATAAACTGTTGCAGAATCAATTGAATACTGATTAAGCAAAATATTATGCGTAACTGGACAATTTGAAAGAAAAAATTCCCGGTATTTTTGTAATTATAACGTCGGTTATCCTGCATATTACCGCCCAAGAGAAGTAATTTATTACTTCTCATGAGATATAATGACGTGTTTCCCAACCTTTAAAAGGTTAGTAATCGGCATATTACATTGGTGATTGTGAATAAAAAATTTTATGAGGAGTAATATTACTTCTCTTGGGCGGTAATATGCAAAATAGCCAATGTTATTATTACAAAAATACCGGAAATTTTTTCTTTCAAATTGTCCAGTTACGCATAATATTTTGCTAAATTAGTATTCAGTTGCTTCTACAGCAGTTTTTCTTACTTCTGGGAAAGCGCACTACTCCATTTCAACAATTTTAATCAGATCAACGCAATCAATATTTCAATTTTTTTTGACATTTCTAAAATGTAAAAAATCAAACGCAATTTAGTTGGCCTACCACGTTTGAACCTTACCTTGGTTAAAATTTATTTTATTCAATTTTTTTAATAAAAATAATGTGATAGTGAATAAAATAGCATACAAACCTCGATGGTAATGGCATTACCCCATGGCATTACCGTTTTACCTTTCAGGCAGTAAAAAAATCTGTTTTTCGCTTTTTTTTTACTTTTTAGTTTTTACTTTTACCATAACATTATTGACATTTACCAATGTTGCTTTTTGTCTTGCCTCTTTCGCTGCTTCAGCAGTTTCTGGAGATCATCAGCATTCGACACTTAGCGCTGCTAACTGCACTAACCATCCACTAGTTAAATTATTACATAATAAACACTTTCATTTTTGAAAATCTCAACACAAATTCCGATATTAACGAATGATGTTTGTTTATAAGCGTTGTTATGATTTCATTAGTTGCAACGCGTCCTGATTATTTTGCTCATTTACTTGATAATTATTATGTTGCTCTCTTCTCTCCATCGTTTCCTGATAAAATAGTCAATATTATTAGGAGTAAAAGTGAGTTTATGTGGCTCAGTTGAATTGTTTGCCTCACTACGTTCGACAAAATAAAAGTTCAGCTTCACTTTTACTTCTAATAACATATTGTACTATTGTTTATTGTTAGCCAATAACAAAGTTATTAAACCAGAAACACTTAACAGGGCCACGTTTTTAAAATTAGTTAATACGAGTACAAAATCTAATTTCTACATGTAATTTTAGAACTGCAATGTAGACTTTATGAATCACCGAAAAAGAATGCAAATAGGGTCAATGATGTTTGAATAATTTACCACCATGAAAATTTACATTAAAAGAAAAGAGGTAAAATAACGTTTTAAATTCAATCAAATACAGCGAAATGAAGTAAAATGTAAATTTTTAACCAAAGTATCAATGATTCTTAACGCACCAAACTGCCTAACATTACTATTACTATGAAAAATATTTTTTATACTTTGCAATAATCATTAGAATTCCTGGATTTTACTTGCCTCATTTTAACCACAATTGTCAAATAAATATCAGGAGTAGAAAAGTTTCAACTGTGTCTTACCGTAAACTCAAAATAGCCTGATATTTTTTCCATTTCAACAACTCGCGTAAAATTTTAATGTCAAAATTAGTAAAACGAATTGTATGCTAATTTATTTCTAAACAACTTTGCTATCTTTAACACAATATTCATTTAAACAATGAATAAAGTTTCTAGTCTAATATTTTACGAACATTATACAGGCTGTTCAGTTTTTATTGTTACAAATTTGAACAGGTGATACAATATTCAATTTTAAGACTGAAGTTTCCTATGACCATTTATCAAAAAATGTTATCTACTCGTAAGACAGCTACACCCTCTGAAAGATGTCCCACTGTTGCAAAATAGATAAAATTACAAAAGTTGGTACAGCTGATAACCTTTAAACACCTGAATGAATTTAAAAATCAAATGTCGAAATTTTTATTCAGGGGTGTCCTAAACAGGAGCAGTTTAGAATAAAACGGCTTTAATTTTAAATTTTTATGCTGGGCGGGGTCTGGAACATAAACTTTAAAATGATTTTACTCAAAAAGTTGCATCGAAATAACGCAAGAAACCTTTTTTTTTTGTAAAAAACTAAGGAATTTAGAATTTTCTTGCTGAAAGTGGTAAGAAACTTCAGCCAAAATAGAGTACTTTTTATCCTAAACTCCCCCAGTTTAGGACGCCCCTGATAAAAAATTTCAACATTTTATCTTTGAATTCGTTTAGATGCATAAAGGTAATCAACTGTACCAAATTTCTGAAATATTGGACAAAATCCAGTAAAACATGCACCTCTCTCAGGGAGTGTACCTACCTACCTCTATTTCATAGTATTTTTCGATACATGTTCAAAGCAAACTTATATCTTAAAATGAAATATTCTATCACCTGTTTAAATTTGTAACAATAAAAACGAAACACCCTGTATAAAACTTTAAGTTTGTACCTAGCATAAAATACCCCCAAATCAAACGTCACTAATTCTAGTTTATCTACAGCCTGTCTCAAAATTTGCAGAACAGCTTTATTATACAATATTATACACAGTGTTTCATGATCCTAATCTGTCTACCTTAATCATTA